TGTCTGCCATAGAGTTCTGAGTCTTAAAGTAGTGAGTTTAAGGGTAGTTTGTAAAGGCATTTTGACCCATAGTACTTTCATAAGAAGTGTATATCCAAGTGACTACCCCAAAATGTGTGTATCTTTCTGATGTTGCCACCTACTGTATGTGGGAGAAGACTAGGAATCTGAGGTTTAAACATAGTCCTTCTTTTACATAAAAATCTACCCTAAGTGGCCTATACATCTGGAAATAGTTAAAGAAAACCCTTTACTTAAAGAACAATTTTTTTCAGGTCTCCATTTTCTTTTCTCTGAACACATATACAGTACACAATTTCTACAATATATAGCGTCACAGTTGTGGTTGTAGGACAAAGCAGATAGCAATCAATATTCTTTTACTTTAACTACTAAACTTTGCTTTTAATTTGTATTTATATTGTATATATAATTTAGTGTGCAATTCAAATTGTCTTTTAGTCTGAGATTTATAGACAATATCCAAACTTTGATCTATTAAGCACCAAATAACAATTTCTGCATATACTGGTAGCTCCACCTGAGGTGTGAAGTTATCTTAAAATTTGTAATGTGATCAGTGTACATTCAATAAATTAAAATTTGATGTTTAAGATAAAAAAAACTTTTTTAAGTTTCAGTTTATAAGGCTCATATAATAATTTATAATGATTAATGTATATATGATTGCTACTGAGTTTATATCCACAAAATTAACGTTTCATCAATTTTTTGCATTATGCAGTGCTGTTCCAAGAAGCTCTAAGTTTTGATCACAAGAAAGTAGTGTTTTTCAACATGAGCATATTTGAGGTCAAGTGTAGGAATTTCTTTGAAGTTGTGGCATCTGTATTGGTTACATCAAATCAACTGATGGTGGCCTGTGTTACAAGATCAGGCTGCTCTTCATAAAACTCAGCCAGTTCTATAAGATAATGTTATTCATTGATTAAAATATGAGCCCATACTCTGAATGTAATGTTTTCATACACTTTATTAGTGTTATGGGTAAGCTCAATAGAGTTTTCACCTGATCTCTCTTTCTATACCACAATGAACCATGTGTTGGAACCCAGATTCTGATACCAGAGACTGGATTCTGTCAGAGACCTAGTGTGGGTCTTGCAAAACCAGTTGTGGTGTCTCAAGGTGCAAATTCACACATTACAAGACCTTTTAGTGGGGATTCTGATTTAGAGGCATTCAGTCATAATTCCACAGATGGGATATTCACACCACTGACTCCTTGGCCAATCACAGACATACTGAACATCTAACCTTGCTGTTCCTCAGGCATTGAGTGAGATTACTGCCGCAGTAACACATAATCAGCTGGGTAAAACTAACCAGTCTCATGATGGTCTTCTGTCCCATCCCTGGAAAAAATGCAGAGGCATGAACATGTCATCCGTGGGCGTCTCATGTCCCTTTCGGATTTTTGAAGAAAATTGAGAAAGGGATCTTCAGATTTTTGACTCAAGAACTTATTTAAATTGAATAGCAACACATTTGCCATAGTGTCAACAAATATTAGACAGGGTGTGAGGCAGGACAGCTGGAGAAATGGATGCAATTACACATGACGTGCCACTAGATGCCACTATTCAACCTTTACATGACCTGTAAATATCCACAGGGCTGAATCATTTGGCATTTTTTTATGAGTTTGTGAAGTGCGTAGAAATACATACTTTCACATGGGTGTGATTAAACATTGTTTTGGTAGAAAAAGAGTAAGCACGTTAATAATGAAGTGCTGAGTGCTGGTTCTTTTTGTTGTTTTTAGACTAAAAAGGGAGAAAATCCAACAGCTGGGGCTTGATTTGTTTTTGTCACTGTTATCATTTGACACCGTAGTGGCACAGTAGTGGGAAGCAGCATCCTTGAATATACTGATAGTTAATTCCTAGCTATCCACTGCAGAATTTGTTTCCTGTGCCATCCTGAGAAAACATCAGGAAACCCTCCCATTGTAATTTCTCATTGTTTTAGAAATAAAGCTTTAAACAAGGGGTCCTGTGTTACTGGATTCTCAGTGTCCACCTGTCACAACAAAACATCACAGGTGAGTGTACCAGGGTGGAGCAGGACATCGTGACTGACATGGACATTAGTGACTCATGACAAAGACACAATTCAGGAACAGGTGGTTTATGGGAAGTGTAGTTCTCGTAGACAGTGCAGCATCTCTGAGCTACACTAGCCAGTTTCCACAAATTGTTAATCTGTGAGTTTGGACAGACAGCATATACTGTATTAACAACTACGATAGCAAACTGTTGGGATGCGTTAGGACAGGTTTAGACCATCATGAGATTTTGTGAGCAGACCTTGGGGCCACCTTTGTTGGATAAGGGTCTGTCATACAAATGCATGAACAAAGCAGGTGACAAAGTCAAGTGCTGCTGTATGATCATTACATTGAAGAGAAGTGTTGGTGATATTTTTCATGTAAAGATAATTACTGTACATTGTAATTTTGATACTATAAGTTATGGGCATTAGAATGGACTAGTACAGAGACAATGAATGTGTTGAATGCTGAGAATTGGGGAAAAGCAAACATTGCTTGTAAGTGGAATGTCTGTGGCACATTACTCTCAGGGAAAAAAAATAGTGTTGCAGTGATTTAACATCTAGACATTCAGAAATAATTAGGAAACCAATTATTGTAATGCAGATGCAGATGAAAAACATTTCAGGAAGATCCTGTTGAAGTTGCTCAATGTATTGGTCAGAACACATTGAGAATAATGCTGTTTGCAGTTTCTGGCTCAGGGCCATTGAAGTGACACAGAGCTCTTAAAGAATGTGAAGAGAATGGCATATTCCCATGCTATAAGAAATGAGATATTATCCAAGCCCAAAACAGTAATTTAAAAAAAGATGGAGGCCTGGTAGATCTTAAAGTATTTGTAAGATTAATTCCAGCAGTTAGTCTAAATTAATTCTGATTACCTCATGTGGAAAATGTGCAGAATGAGAATAAATAACTCAGAAGTCTGCATAAGTATATGTTGATATTTGATATATGATGAAGAAGAAAGCTTTTACACAAAGTGGCTGATAGGTGAAAACGGTCAGCTAGCACTCTGCTCCTGAATGTGTTTTCCTGTGTACGGTACTCATGGTTTGTATTGCGTGAACTGTAATCCACATAATTATGTTTAAGGACATCATTATGCTTGGTCTGTTTATTTTTGCTGCCAAAATTGCACAACAGGCTGCATGAGACAGAGTCAGATTGGAGGAGCGCTTGAAGGTTTTGCAGAGGCTGAGGGACAAACGACTGGGTTTCTGAGACAAAAAGACCTTCCTCGCAGGCAGGTGGCGAGGTCTCTTGAATGGCTTTTTAAATTATTATTCCTATCTTGCTGGGATAGTAAGCTGGTACTAAAAAGTAAGATTTTCGAGATACACTGGCAGTGAGGCATTACACTGTTGGTGTTTAATATTTTTTTTCAGCATGGAATAAACCTTTACTTGTTCCTTTGCAGCCTACGCATGCTGATGCAGCTAGCCACCTGAATAAAAAGAAGATGCAAATGGTTTAAAATTCAGGGATGTTGGCACAGAATACAGGCAAACTGTGCAGCTGTAGATGTTTATTTCTCATGGAGTAACAACAAATTGAAACTCAGTTGCCTCCTATTCCTGCTGCTCGTGCTTGTTGGACTGCTGTGCCTCACAGCTGGCGAAGGCCTTTGTGCCCCCTGTTGCTGCTCCCAGAGCTCTGGTCATATCTGCAGGAGGCACTTCTGCCCCTTCCTGCCACAGCGTTGCCCATGGTGATGGGCACACAGGCAGAGGTGTCCCTCTGACCCTCTACTGTGGCGTGGTGTGTAAATCTCAGGAAGATGCATCAGAAAAAAAATGTTTTTATATCAAATTTATTGTTATATTTATTATATAGAGTGGGTAAAATGGTGACATCAACTTCATTTTTACATTGTAAATCTTGAGGTCTTTTGGCTGGCCTTGAAGAGTCAGTTACAGGTGTTCTTGGATCTTCCAGGACTTCTCTAATCCCTGAGAACACATCAGATTACGACACGTAGAAACAACTCTCGAAATCAACAAAGCACCCTGCCATTCTCTCAGGGTAAACACATTTTATACCTACTATAGCCCCTTGGGCTGTGGTGGTAGGGTAGGCTGAAGATTTACTTTATTTTAGCTGATGTGTGGTGAGTGTTCTGGCACACTATGGCTGTTGTCGCATTATCCAGGTGGGGCTGCACATTGGTGGTGGTGGAGGGGGGGAGTCCCTATTACCTGTAAAGCGCTTTGAGTGGAGTGTCCAGAAAAGCGCTATATAAGTGTAAGCAATTATTATGAATTATTTCTTGTCATCACTGTGAAGTGATCTTGGAGGGCCGTCCTGAATGTGCTCTTGAACCTATACAACGCCCCTCAGACAATGGTTAACCCACTCCTGAGTGGCAGACAAGCAATATAAGAATGATGGGGATTTAGCTATAACCAGCAAATTAAACTGCTGTCATTTTTCGCACTACTGTGTACATTTGACATGGCAGCATTATTTTCTGTTACTTTAGTTGCTGTTTAGTTTATTTTCTCTCAGGAAAACCATAAAACCCAGAGTCTTACAAGAGAAAGTTACATGCGAGATAAACATGGGATTTTTTCGAATGGACAGTTGTGGAGAAAGTTAAGTGTCACCTCAAAGTGATAGTCAGAACTGCATACTGCTCTGTGATTCAAGTTACACGCTTAAGTGCAACATTGTAAGCAATGCTGTTAATTAATTAAATTTTAATGATAGTTCAGTTTTAATATCTTGTCAAATGCCTTTTAATACCTTTTGAGCATTTTATTTTTGTTGTAGAATGCTGGGTGCCTTAAAGTGCCTTAAAGTCACAATTGGAATTATTGTTTTCTAATGTGATATGTTTCTGAGCCACACTCTTTGCTGCTTCAGTTTGCAAGTGCTGCTTCTGTCCCGGGACTGATGGACTTAGCTGTTTTTCTCCACACAGGAGCTTCACCGACAGTTTGAAGGTGCCCCTGAATCCGCCAAAACTAAGGCCCTGCAGACCGTCATTGAGATGAAGGTGAGTCTGCATGCAAGTGGGCAGCCCAGCAGAAGGGTTTAACATGTTGCTATACAGTATATCTCACACACACATTGATCACCAGGGGGAAAAAAGACTTAATTCACTCCAACTACTCACTTACAGGTCTTTATAATCAACATGCCTGTTTCAAATATAACATTTTCCTCAAAGTGTGAAATATCGTCCAAGATATGTTTCTCCATTTCCTTACTAAAAATACCAGGAGACTGGTGGGATCCTGGTAATCTGAGTTTTCTCCTTGCTTGTTTGCTTCCTAATTGGATTTTCAGTATAGGCTGTTCCTTAAATGAGAACAAACTGGCAAATATGATGCTTTAGTTACACTATCTTCACAGTGTTAAGCCCTAAAATTTCTTACATGGAATCCAACAACCCATAGACAGATTTTCAATTAGGCAGCTCCTTTTCAATTAGTTAGGACAGGTTGTACCACAGCTCTAATTAGAACCTCTCTGGATTGGCACTGAACTATCACCAAGTGTTGACAATTTTCATTCTCCCTTTCCCACATTAAATAAGAGATATTCTTCTGATTCAGGCTGCTTAATAAGATGTTGGATTACACAGTATGGTTTGTGTAGGTGTTTGATAATTTTAGTGGATTGCCTGACTGTGCTGAAGATCTGCCTACTAAGGGAAAGAGGTAGTGACCTACAGTATATTTGAGGGTGTTTAATGTGTGGGGTACTTGGAATTGAGCTTTCAGCTAGAGTCTCGAAAGGAGTCCCAAGGTTTATCAGACTGGACCCATAGAGCGAGAGCAGTGTTGACATCTGAGTCCTCTCCCTGTGTATCTGTCCCAGGACTCTAAGATCAACTCCTTGGAGCGTGGCCTGCGGGACCTGGAGGAGGAGGTTCAGATGCTGAAGTCAAATGGCGCCCTGAGCACTGAGGAGCGGGAGGAGGAGATGAAGCAGATGGAGGTGTACCGCAGCCATTCCAAGTTCATGAAGAATAAGGTAATGGTGCACTGAATGTGAATCAAGGTTCTGAAACAACTGTGCGGAGTAGGCATTCAGTTCGTCAGTACTGCAATGTTAAAATAGCTCTGAGTAATAAGTACTCTGATTCAAACCACTAAGGGAGGTGAATGGCTTCCCTTTTCATCTGTCACATTCTCCACTCTTACCCTGTCAGAATCCAGTTCCTACTTTTCGTGTTTTTTAGGAATTCTGTTTCCTTCTAAACTAGCCTGCTCCTCTCACCCTGTTTCTTTCATCAGAAGCTCTTTTGATAAAGTTCATAAGGTGTCAGAACTGTGCTCTGAATTGTTTGTGCATGTGATGTTCAAGTTCCTGACTTCTGTTCCATTTTTATTTTCATGTTTTTCTTTTTATCCTTGGGAAACAACTGCAGCATTGTTTGACGCCCGGTGGATGCTTGCTGGATTGGAAATTTCCACTCATATAGCCACTTACGTTGTTGTGTTTTTTTCCTTTTTTAAAAAAAATCTTCCTTGTTATTGTACAGTTTAGTTGTACACATTTTAAGAACTTATGTTATATGTTGTTTCAGATTCTTATAGCTCTATCTTACCAGAACACATCATTTAATGAATCATTAAATGTTGTTAATGTAATGCAGAAATCAAACGTTAGTTTTGCTTGTTTGATGCCTGTAGAAGTGTGCCATGCCATCTGAACAATTATTAATTCATTTCTAATTCTTATTTGGCTGATGTTTTTTAATCCAAAGCCACTTACGTCTTTGCCCGTTTTTACAGCCAAACATTTTACTGAAGCAATCTAAGTGGCATTGTTCTCAAGTACAGCCAGTACTCCTGGAACCTGGATTCGAACCCACAGCCTTCCAGTTACGACTCCAGAGCCCTATATGGTGCTCTGCACCTGACCTGAAGTCCCACACCAATTAAAAAATGAAGTCACCTTTAGCTGTTTCTGGCACCTGAGTGCTAGAGCTGCTTGCTTGGGTGGCCCAGTGCCTGCTTGGTGGATAAGGGCTGGCTTGCCAGGGCCCTTGCTGCTGCCCTGGTTCTTGTTGCAGTAATACTGTAGTGACCCCTGTCCTGGCAGGTAGAGCAGCTGAAGGAGGAGCTAAATCAGAAAGAGGCCCTGGGGGAGGAACTGAGAAAGCGGGCGGCTGACCTGCAGCTCGAGGTCTCTGCAGTAAGACTTCCTGTGTATGCGGCGCATCATGGGAGAGAGAACAAGTGCCAGCTCTCTTGCTTTTTGTTCATGGAAAGGAAGAGCTCTGCCTTCTTACTGAGGAATAATGTACAACTCTGAGGTGCATTCCATTTCCTTGCATCTATCGGTGTACAAAAAATACAATTCTCCTAATTACTCACTGTACCACGGTGAAAAACGCAAACTCCTGGGAGTGCAGTTGCCAAATTTAAGCCTCGTCTGGGTCTCTTTCCAGGCCTGTGGGGTTGGCACGGAACAGCACTGGGACCGGCAATGTTCCAGTTATTTAGGTCACTAGACACAGTGTACTTGTTCTCATCTGGTTTAGCTTTTCATTATGAAACAAGAGAAATAGTTGCATTCCTGAAACGAGGCTAAAAATATCTGTTTACTCAAGACCTTTCATGGTACACGGAAATAAGAGTCTGACCAAGCATCATGATATTTAAAAATACAGCACTAGTCAAAAGAAATGGGCGACCTATAAAAAACAAAGACATTTTACGCCTGCTTATCTGTGTTTCAGTGCAGTTTGTGAATTTACATGCAGTCTAGTTCATTGCTTGATCAGGTTGCTCATCTGGGCAGATGCCTCCCAGGCTAGGAAAGCAGAGCTCTCCCTTGCATAAGTTAAGTGAAGCTGGCATTCTTCTCATGGTAGATTTCTTAGCACTTTCTCTGTTCCTTTTATCTCTCCCTTTCTCTCACGCTGATAGAGCTGTACTGTAAATACTAATGATCACTTGGCTTTTTAGCTGCTTCTTGCTGTGGTATCACAGCTTTTCATCGGTGAGACTGTAGATTCACAGTAGATGTCTCCTAATGTGTGTGTCCTGCATGTAATAAATTATTTATTTGGGGCTGTATTTCTAGACATTTGCCTCAGCAGTGTCACTGTTTAATTACTGTTTTTTAACACAGTTTTAAAATATATTAGAAGAGATTTGGAAATCATATTGTGGATTTTTTAAAAAAAACCCCACTCAAACATGAATGAATATGGCCTAATCAAGTTTGTTTGTTTTTTGTGTCTCTGTATTTTTGTCTTTTATTTTCAGCTTTTTCTAACTTTATTTACATTTTTCCAGACCTGGGAGGCCTGTACTAACAGACTTCACAGAACTGACTTTTTGGGGAGTGGGTCTTGATCCCAGTCCATTGTGCTGTATCGTCTTTAATGACAGTTATATCATATGCTCAGCCATATTCATTTCAGTTCTGGGTCAGGTTAACTTTTAAAAATTGATGTGCATGAGGTTGCAGTTATTATATTTTAAATGTTTAGGAATATTTATCTCGTTGTATGTAATTAGAAGACCAAGCTAAAGCCATATTCATTATAATATACATTTCTGCTCATACTACATCCTATTTAGACGTATTTTCATATACAGTAAGGTTTACAGCAGAAGAGGTGGGTACTACAGATGACATTTCATCTTACATGTAATTCTATGCATTTAGAATTGGATTATTTAATCAGTGGAATAGTATTTCATTCAATGCATCTGACTGAACATGAAGATACAGATGTAAAAGAGTCCCCTACTGTATATGTCATAGGTTTCCATATCAGCATGAGGCACCTCCCATTTCTGATGAAGGTTTCTTCTAAATTCCTTCATGTACCAAATAGCCTCTTAATTTTACATTTAAGATCTAGATGATTCTCATTTCTTACCCAGAACCAATCTTAAAATTTTAGGTAATAAATAAGGAGGCTTCCAGTAGTACAATAATGTTGTAATGGTGACAATTTCTTTGCCAGGTCACATACCAGGCACACTATCAATTTTAATTAATAGCGAAATGAGAACAAAATCACATTCGTTTGTCCACATTTGAATGTCACCACAGATTTATGAGTAAAGTGATTTTGATCTTCTGATTCTCTTTTCAACACCAGTAACGCCCCTGCTCCTTTACTATCTTAACTGTTGTTTTTTTTTTATCAGCATGTGCCCCTTCAAAGCCATGTCCCAGGTTTTGCTTCATATGACAGTACCAAAAATCTCTGTAGCCTGGAGATATAAAAACAGTGGAGGAAGTCTGGAAGTAATATTGAATCACAACAGCCCCCTGTATTCCAAGTAATGTTTACCTACCATTCAACTTGCAAGTCTTCCCAAAGAGACACACTCTAGCATTGTTACATTTCCTCAGGTGACTTTAAATCTCTGATCAATATTCATGTCACAGTTACGCACAATATAACCGGAATTATGTCTGTATTTTTTTATTCCAAAATATCTGTATAAGAAACACATTGTTGAGGAACTGCTACTGTATGTATATCTAGAAAAACATTCTGTTTTCACGTCAAACTATTTTTGCTGGTTCTTACGTGACCGCACCTCACAGATGAGTGAACCAAACCTTTGGAGTTTACAAGAGAAAATGGTTTTAAGAAGTCAAGAACTAAGTAATACATATATTTTTATTTAAGTGTTTTAGATCTGTAACATGGTTAGAGATTTCTAAAGCCTCTTGCCCACACTGGAAGGGTTTCTGAAAAGTGGCTAGAAAGCTCAGGGATGCTCTCTTGAAAGTGAGTAAGACATCTGCAATTTTGGTAGGGAGTTCAAAGAGAAACTAATACCAGGCCAGTACTGTATACTCTTGATCTTCTCTGGTGCCTCTGGACAGTTTTCGAAGATGTTACAAACTTTATCAGTATAGCTGTCAGTATAGCTCAGACTTTTCCTGGTATGATCTGGCCTTGGAGACACAAAGTGGGCCGGGTGAGGCAAAGGGATGAATCCTACCGGGGTGCTGGTGTGGGTAGCTGAGAAGTGAACGGGTGTTGATGGAGGTCCGTCTTCACCCACTGCAGATCGACCAGGTGAAGCAGGAGTTGTCGCGGAAGGACACGGAGCTGCTGGGTCTGCAGACAAAGTTGGAGACGTTGACCAACCAGTTCTCTGACAGCAAGCAGCACATTGAGGTGCTGAAGGAGTCTCTTACTGCCAAGGAGCAGAGGGCTGCCATCTTGCAAACTGAGGTACGTCCAGACTTCTTATTGGCACTGGGGGCACTGTGCTGCTTCTAACTTCTTGTTTATTAACGCACCCACTTTTCAAAAAGGGCCTCTGGGCTTGTACAACCTGGCCTGCCAAAAGTCACCCCTTATTTCAGTTGGTTCTCATTTTATAACCTGATCTGGGGTGTATAGGTGCTGCTGGTGTATAATATATGTCTTATGTCACCAGGCTGTGATGATTGAAGTGGCTCCCTCCCTAGGGATAACGCACTTTGGTATTCTTTGAAAAGCTCTTTATCAAAGCAAGGATTTGTATTTTCCTTGCGCTGACTGTGCAACAGTGCACTTCTGACTGAGTGGTTTCTGTGTGAATGATTAGGTTTTGCAATTAATTTAAAAGGGCAGCATATATCAGATGTAGAAATTCTCTTAAGGCCAAAGTTTCTGCTACTCTCATTTAGGTATGAAAGACACAAACAAGCGTATATAGAAAAGAACAAGTTAAAGGTTGATTCCAGGCTGAAAAGAAGAAAGGAAACAAAACGTTTTGGCTGGGGAGCCCTCACACCCGAAGAAGGCTCCACAGACGAAACTTTTTGTTTCCTTTCTTCTCTTTTCAGCCTGGAATAAACCTTTAACTTGTTCTTTTCTATATGTTCCTTTGCAGCCTACGCATGCTGACACAGCTACTGTACCTGCTTGAACTAATATATATAATATCACTTTGTCCACCAGTACATTTTGTTGTATGCTGCATTATTCTGCTATTTATATTGTCTTTCTTGTATCTGTAGTCCACCAGGTGGAGATGTTGTGTTACCAAGTGTGTAATACGATTTTCTCATTTTCAATATTTATTTTGCGTTTTTATGTTCATTTTGGCTTCAAAATGCAGTATTGAGTAATTGAAATGAAATGTTAATAATAAAGCACTTTATGCTTTTTTTTACAAATTCAGCAGCTCCATACTGTCTTTTATTGTTTTAAATATAGCAAAGCTGTTGTTTTTTTCCCAGAAACCTGTACTCTAGAGTTCCTCCAGATTTTATGAAAGCAAATTAAACTGTCAGAACAGCGCTGACAGTTTAATTTGCTTCCTGCCCCTGGCTTGACTGGGTTCTTTTTTATCAGCAGAAGAAATGGAGCAAAAGTTATGCTATGCATTTCTGTGGAGCTAGCTTTGCTGTTCATTGCATTAGAGAAGGGTTCTGCATTAATGGGACCCATGAACCCATGAAGAGCTACTACATGTTGAGCTGCATGGAGCAAATGAGGGGGAATTGTACACTCCTTTTGATTCACTTAGAGGAGCGTTGAGGAAAGCCTGCCCTCACAGGGACTCTGATCTGTGAAAAGCTGACTCCTGGCCATGCATGTTGAGGAGCAGAGAGTTTCCCGGTGGCGACTGATTGATGCGGCTCTCCAGTGAAGCGCCCTTGTTCTCTCATTGAGCTCGGCATGGCGCAAGAGTGCAGAGTGCCCTGCCACTCAACAGGCCTTTGTGAAGGACTGAGCTCATCCTGGCCTCTCTGCTGTGTAGAGGCTGACAGGAGACAAGCTGAGCCCAGTGATAGGAAAGCACTTTTAAAACAGCAGAACACAAGATGGCTCTGCAATAGAAATGGGATATTCGGCCCACCAGAGACTGAAATTCTTTCCCTACTGACCCAGGCATGTGTTTTTAAATATTTCATTGTATTAGCTGCCAGTTAGGTCCATGCATAAGTATTACAGTCTACGATATGAAAATAGGAAAAAAAGGCTTTTTCTCTGGTGTCAGTGAAGAAATTACATTTATCTGTACAGAGCTTTTAACTCAAGTTAACCTTTTAAAAATCTAAAATCTGATTTCTTTTAAAATCCGTCCATTCAGTAGATTCAATCAGAGCACATTAATTTAATTTTGACCGTCTTTTGTGAAGATGATCTGGGATTAGATAAATAGGGGTAGTGAAGTCCTCATCTGAGTTTTGAACTGCAAACACACGTTTGCCAGTGAACATTTAGAGGCTGACTTAAAGTTGAAATGACTGTTTTCCCTAAAGAGTTACCCACCCAAAGTGTTGACATTATTGGAGCTGTCAAGAAACAGCTGTTTTTTTGGATTAAGTTGTAAATCACCGAATTACTGTGTTCATATGTTCTTATAAGACTTTTGCTGCACCTTTACAGGGCTGAATAGTCTAATATTTTTCACAAATTTGTCTTCACAAATTGTTTTTTTTTTACCCAGTGGTGCAGTATTTTGATATATACATTAAGACCAGGTATGAAACCTTTTGAAGCAAACATTAAATATTAGGAATAAGGAAAAGCCTCTTGTTGCTAGTGCTACGCAGAACAAGGGGCTAACATAATAGTGTTAATTCCCCCCTAATAAAAAACCTTGAGGAAAATGTGAATCAGCTGCCTAGTTGAAAAGGAAAACAATGAGATAATATAATGTGTGCTTTTGCTTTATGTTCATTACTTTCAATAAATATAATGTTAAGCAGACCTGAACGACTCCCATAAAATAAAGATGTAATTGAAATGGCCTTGTCCAGAACTGTTTCTTTCATTGCACAGTCTCAGATACAGGCAAGTGCAGTCCTTCCTGTGAAATGCATGTGGTTCCCTTCCTGTGCTTCTTTCTGACTCACAGATTTCATGGGAGTTGCATCATTTGGGCCCAAATAAGTGCATCTGGATATGAGGCAAAGATGATTAACCAAGCAGCTATGTGGGACCTATGATCTTTCATTCATATTGAATTTAATATATTATTCTGCAAGAGCATATTACTTTTTGGTCATGACACCTGTGTGAATAAAACAGTACTATTGTCTGCTTTGAGAATGCCTATCCCCCATTCTCCCATTGTTCTCTGAAGAGGTTTTCATCTAATTTGTGGAAAGACAGGATTGTACAGTACACTCCTACTAACACAGTTTGAAAAGCTGGCATCCTTCAGTTTTTGAATCCTTTGGGAGCTGTCGTAATAGTGAAGGCAGACATACATGGTGAGCAACACAGAGTCTAAGATAAGTCTGAATGTTTCTTTGAAAAATTACTGATAATCAGTGATTATAGCACAGATACCCCAAGCACAAAGAGCGGTTCTAAGAGTAAACTCAAACCGAGAGTACAAAACATGGCCATATTCCAGCTAGTTAGTGCAGAAAGTATAGATGATCGCAGTCCTCTGGTTGCAACTGCGGTTCTTGAGTAACAGTGCAGATACAGAAGTGACATCTTTCAAAGCTAGATAGTGTAAAACGTGGCTGCGGTAGAGGTCCGATATTTTTAGTGTGGCGCAGTTACCTGCTGTCTAGGGAGTGGCGTTGTCTGTGCTCGGTGTCCGTGAGTGCCGTGAGTCAGATTTCTTATGTCAGTGAGGATCTTGAGCGGGATAGTAGGAGCAATTTAGAAGGAGGACTCACGTGCTGAGACAGAGAAGTGACACCACCTCCCTCTGGAATCTAAACCGTGTAGAACTCTTCCACTGCAGAAGACTTGTCATTAGGCATGGTGGAGTTATCTAGGGAGGGCTGTCTAGAGAGAATCCCAGCAGAAGCATGTAGATCTGCATTCTTTAGCCTTGTCCCTGGCAGCGTCCGCAAGCGATGTTGAGCTGTGCTCTGCGCCGTTGGCAGGTGGATGCCTTGCGGCTGCGTCTGGAGGAGAAGGAGACCATGCTGAACAAAAAGACCAAGCAGATCCAGGAGATGGCGGAGGAGAAGGGGACGCTCAACGGGGAGATCCACGACCTCAAGGACATGCTCGATGTCAAGGAGCGCAAAGTGAACGTCCTGCAGAAAAAGGTGGGCTGTCAAACTTGTGACACATCTGTGTACGTGAGAAGGGAAGAGGGAAGATGTGTTCTCCACTCTGTGGTGGAGTTTCTGATTTTTTAGTACAAAGTTCCTATCTGTTCACATCCTGTAATAGTTGTCACAAGTTCTGATTGTACCAGAGGCTCTTCTTGGAAGGATCTGTCAACATTAGTAATTTTATTTAAGAATATAATGCTCTTACCCAAAGGGTTGTGGGAGTATGGAACCAGCTACCCAGGTGTGATCATTTAATTATCTGAGTAACTGAGTAACTGTTATGTTCTTCTTAAAAGGATATAGAGGTAACATACATGGTCAGGCATATTTCCCAGTGAGTTATTTCCTTTAGTAGTGTTTGCAATATACTGTAGGTAGTCTGTAGTTCAAAGTAGGTGGTCAGACAGTTTATTTATATTTTGTATTAGGTACGGTTTATTGGTCTGTAGTAACCTTGTTATTAATCATGACACTAGACTGAAACTGGAATTTTCCAAGCATTGACTGAATACTCACCTTCTTGGCACAGGCTTGCAGTGATGTCAGCAAGAGACATGCTGCTCTTCCAATCAGTGCTGCCTCCCCATTGTCTACAAGTTCAAAGACATCTGGTCTTGTTTGTCTTGAAGTGTACCATTAGAAGGTGTCCTTAGTGACCCTCATTCTTTCATAGTAACTTTATATGTGAGTGAACTGGTTTTACAAAATCACCTTTCAGCTTTTATAGTAAACTTCAGAAGACATTGCTTGTCTTCCTGACATATCCAGGGGTTTATATTTTTAAAGAAATACATGAAAACTAAAAGGCCTATTCGACTACGGGTTAGAAAGCTTTTAAGACAAACAATAGCTTGTCATCTAATGTAGAACAGCTGCACTGCAATAGCTCTGCGAGTTTGATTGGTTTTCTCAAAAACCTCTGGCTGACACTAGAGGGCACTGTGTTACTAGTTTTCATTTGCTCAGCTGCAACCTGCTGCTCTTCCGAAGCTGGTGTTCTGCCTAGCTCTCAATAACCATTTCAAAGAAATATGTGGCAATTTAATGACTAACGTGGGATATGGAAGGGATACTTTTGAAATCTACAGATACGGTCTCTTTATCCCTGTGAAACACCCAAAAGACAAAGCGAAAGACTTTGTTAAATTCGGCACTATTTTAAACTCAGATATTTCTGTTTTTGCGTCGCAGTGCTTCATGCAACTTTTTGCCTTGGTATTTTCTCCTGATATGAAATGACATGTTTGTAGTCAACCTGGCATTGAAGGCTCCTAAGAAGGGTTTGGGAAAAGGAATTTGGCCTCCCGGTTTAAAGGACCCTCCGCCAGGTGCGGCACCATTTTTTCCCGGCTTGTGCCCCACGACTGTTTCCTAGCTGAGCGGAGAAAAGCGGCCCCATTGTATGGATCTGGAAAGCTCAATGAAGCGCTCAGCAACGGGTCATTTCAGACGGCTTGTTTCTGCCTGTTCCTCGTCGACCAGCCTCATTGATTTTTTTAATAAGATCAGAAGGGTGCGCTTAACAGTGCGTTTAATTTGCAGATTCAGAAATCGTCCCCTTTGCAGGGCCGGGTGTCCCTTGGCGCCCGAGCGGAAACTTGCCCGTCGGCTATGGCCTTCTGTTGTCCGTAGGACACAAAATGAAAGTGTAAAGTCTGAATGGGTTTCGGCTTTGAATTATTTGCCACAGATGAAATGAAAAGAAATGAAGACTTTAAAGACCTCAGTAATGTTGTGTAAAAAAACAGTTTATGGCTGAGTGTTTGGGACCCTTTTCAAGAACAGCTTTCATTTCGCACTCTGAGGCCATTTTTGTATTCATGCACCAGGGTAGGTTATATAAGCTCATAAATAACAGGACTGAAAAATGAAGGAATTCGCCTCCAGAAAATAGAAGCAATATTTTCTTGTCTGTTTAAGTAATCTTTATGTTAACCTTGAAACACATGCTTTGTATATCCATTAGTGAAAGGTATTCGGTCCCAAAAATGAGCTGGCAGAGATCTTTGCATAACCTGGGTGATGTTCAAGAGAAAATTTTGAATTTCTTCTGGTGGGGTTCACCGTCCAGAGATCCTAAAATCCCAGTGCTCGTCATCTATTTACAGGTGATGCCACTAACCCTGATGAAAACGACTGTCTAGTGTTAATTTAATTCTACTAACCTAGGACTGGTGCTGATTGGGATCAGTAAGACTATGCAACAAAGTGCATGTCCAAATTGTTGCAGGTTAAAAATGCAATGGATAATTAAATATTTATTAGTTTCTTCTTGGGTACAAGACACCCCTATTTCTTCATAATGGTGTTTTGCAACTACATACTGTGTTATCATATACCTTATACTGCTGTATCCTGCCTGCTTAGTTAGTCTTGATTCATGTAGCACATAAAGATGCTTCACAGGTACACTGTATTCCCAGAAACTTTTAAGTTGTCAAAGCCACCTGTGACATGATCGGCATTTAAATAATACTTGTTTGAACTTGCCTTTTAGTATATAAGACAAGTCTCTTTCGGGAGTGTAACAATCATGTAGCCCTCTCTCAGGAACAGAGTATTTCTGGGAATATGGGAATCTTTAAAGAAGCAAGGTAAGCTGGTTATTTATTCCTGAGGCAGAAGTAAGCTGCTTCTGAAGGGTTCGTTGAAGTATGGGGACCAAGGTCGTTGTTGGATGTAGAGAGAGATCTGATATTTGTAGCGATCCAGCTCTCCCAGCTGGGAAGGCTCTCTCCCTCTTTGCACAGTAACATCAGCCACCCCTGGATTTTCCCTTTCATCTCTATCTACAGAACAGGCTGCGACATGGTCCCTGGCAGAAAGTGGATTAGCGCTGATTATGTTATCCCGAATGAAATCCTCCTGTTATCCTGCCTCTGGACAATTCATATCTGAGAAGATGATAATTGGACTATGCAGGATGGTGCCTCCTCTGAGACAGCCTTCCATTTTGTTTCACTTGTAGATTTTGTTTCGCTCCAACCTGACTTTGGCTTCACAGGACATACACAAAGTAATAAGTTAATGCATCTATGAGTATAAACAAATAGAAAAGCAGGCTCCTCAGGCGTGAAGCTCCCTCTTCATGGAATTTTCTTCTTTCTGCTTTTCAGTATGGAATTAACCTTTACTTACTTATTCATTTGCAGCTCCCTCACTGACACGGCTCCCAGTTTGAATATTTATTTTGAAATCGCAAAAGTAAATCCACCTTTACTTAAGCCAGGGCTTGATTATGTCAGAACCACAATTTACAAATTGTAAACTTGACGTGTTAAAGTTATGACATCTACCCAGAGGATACCTACCTTCTAGATTTGAGCTTATAATGTGCTTTTGACAATGTAGCCAAGACAATTTAGCAAAACCCTTAAAGCAATGATATGAGCTGTTAATAGGTCACTGTAGTGCTTGGCAAAATGTTTTGTGATTGCTGTTGCTATTTGCTTGCTTTACTGTTTAAGCCTTGTAATATTAGAGCACTTAGAAGTGCTGAACAAGATCATTCAGACAAGGAGGCAGGTTACATGAAGAGAGAGCAATGAATCCGATGCCACCAAAAATGAGTGTGCATTTCCTTCTGCTCTTTTCAGAGAGAGTTCTTTTGCAACCAACAATACTGGCGTTCCTTCTTTCGTAGAATCTAAGCAGAAAAAAAAACATATGGTAATGAGCTGCACTTTAAATCAATGATAACCCGAATCTCAAAAAAGGAGAAAAAAAATTCTGTCCTTCAGCAGTCACGCAGTCGAAAGCAAAAAAAAAAAATGAAAATGCTTTTGTCTGTGACTTGAGGAAGTTTACAGAACTTTTTTTTAATTAATTAGAGATACCTCCTGCTCACAGCACAGACACAAAGAGATGCCTGCCTGGCGCCCTGCCAGTTACCTGTCAAGTCTCCTGGATTTGTAGTTTTACCATCGCATCTCATTTGCATTACTGAGCAAGATAGAATCCAGAGTGCGCTTGGTGGCTGTTGGCACTTCTTAGAACTCAAAAATCCGAGATGTTTTTAGTTTTATCTTATTTATTTGAAGTTAATTTTGCTGAACTGACATTAAATGTAGCTTCAAGCCAAATACAAAACATGGATTTCTGCACCTATACGTTTCTCTTTGAAACATGTCTTATTGTGAAGGAACACAGCTTTACTCATTTGATCTGTTTCCAACAATGTCGCTCCTGTAATTTTGCTTTCTGTGAAACTACATCGTAGTTTTTATGCATCTAGTTCAGTGAAACCATATCATTCAAGCTTACTTTCTTAGGCGGTTATGAAACAGGAAACTTTTTTTTATATTTCATACTAAAGATCATCATAATGAGAAATTATTCTTTTTTCCTTTTAGAAATTCCAAGCACTTGTCATTGAAAATGGAAAATGTACTGTAGTATCTCTAGCAAAATAATGGAAAAGGGCGGTAATAATTAGAATGATCTAATTCAGCCACACCTTCTTTTACTCAGTCAAAATTGCCCATGACCTTATCAATATGTAAATTGTGTAGTGCACTTGGATGCATAATAAAAAAAAACATGTTGAATTGCAAATCATTAATAATGCATTTTTTCAATTGTCAATGAAAGTATCAGTTTCCTTTCTCTGCAAGCCAAAGTGTATCTCAATTCTGCATTGAAACAACTGCAGCTTCTTTGTACAGTAGGTATCTTTTAATTTTATGTTGGTGCCTTGAAAAAATAAGCAGAAAGCTATCATTCTGTTCATACAGCTCTTTTAGAGAATGGGTTTTATCAATTTGTGTCTTGTTGAAAATTGGAAAAAGTTAGAAGAAATTAGAAAGAGATTTACCGAATTAGTAGAGTTAAAACTGGATATTAAAGCAGTGCTGTACCACCTAAACATTTCTAATGCCTTGAAAATTAAGAATACAAGGGGAGACTTTTTGACTGTTAACCTCTCCGAAAAATTAGCTGCACATGAAGGTCAACCTCCTCTCTTGTGATCTAAAATAAGTGACAGTTTCAGT